CTGCCCCAGCACCAGGGGATGCCAGAGACTGGTCTGTTTCCACTAACTCTGGGTAGGGGAACATTCCAGGGAGACTTCGAAGAGCCAGGTCTTATCTTCTTCCAAGTTTGAGGCTGGAAATGATGCCTGGCTGGGGGGCGATGATGAGATGTTGGCTGGGCAGCCACAGGGGCAGGCACAGGCAGGCTCTGAAGAGGCAGGGAGAGAACAACACGGCTATTCTAGCAGACACAGAGAAAGCGCTGGACAAACCGCAGCCCCATTCACAATTCAGAAAAATCTATACTTGGCAAATTCGGAACACAGAGTCTTTAACCTGAGGAAGGGAACCCACCAAAATCCTGCAGTGACTCTGGTGTGTGCCCCTGCAAGACAGAAGTGAGAGAGGGGTGCTGGTTATCACTCATGAATGAATTTGTGTCTCCTGAATGACCAATGTTTCGTGTCATGGAAACCCTACCTAGCGCAAAAAGGTAGGAAAATAAAAGTATAAGGATTGGAAAGGAGAAACACAAATATTCACAAGCAATATGATTTTCTACATAGAAAATACAAGAGGATGGCGGGGTGCAGTGGCTCACGCCTGTAATCCCAGTACTTTGGGAGGCCAAGGTGGGCGGATCACTTGAGGTCAGGAGTTTGAGACCAGCCTGGCCAACACGGTGAAAACCCGACTCCACTAAAAACACAAAAATTAGCTGGGCGTGCTGGCAGGCACCTGTAATCCCTGCTACTTGGGAGGCTGAGGCAGGGGAATCGCTTGAACCTGGGAGGCAGAGGTTGCAGTGAGCCGAGATCGCGCCACTGCACTCCAGCCTGGCAAGAGTGAGACTCTGTCTCAAAAAAAGGAAACAAAATACAAGAGAACATAGAAACAAACTCTTAGGACTAATAGATTTCATCCAGTTGCTTGTGTAAGGTACAGGTGAAGTCAGTGGCACTCCTGAGCACCACCCCCTTGTTGGTTGTGAAGAAAGGTACCATGAGCATCACACACACCCTCTGACGGCTGCACAAATGTCAGGCATCAAGAAGTGCACGCATCACAAGTTGTGCAAAACCCTTTGGGGGAAGTTATACAACTTCATTGAAGACATGAAAGACATCCTAAATAAATGGAGAACTATCCTACACTCACATACAAGATTCAATGTCAAAGAGATGCCATTTCTCTCCCAGTTAATCTATAAACTCATTATAATTCCAGTCAAAATCCAAACCAGTTTTTATTGAACTTGGCAAGTTGACACAGAAAGGCCAAATTTGAAGATTATATCACTAAAGAGAGGCACATTGGGGTGGAGCCTGACAGAGACCATCGGAGTAGAGCTCAGGGACCCCGAAGATGGAGCGGAGTTGCCGCCCAAGCTGGCGTGGTCAGATCAGCGGGAGCACCAGACTCCACAAGGAAGGGCGCACGCCTGGCCTTCCACACAGAAGACCCAAGGGTGAAGAGCAAAGCAGACCTTTAGGAGGAAACCTGGGAAGATGTTTTCATGCATGACAGAGATACCTCTTAAGCAAGAAACAAAAGCATAAAACAGGAAAACACAGGTAAAATTGTTCAGCTTAAAGTTTCTGCAGAATGGAAGGCGACATAAAAACTGCGAAGACTCACGGTGGCTTCACAACAAGAGACTCCTGTCCTGAAGGAGAGTGGCCTCCTTCAAAGCCATGGGTGCTGGACACTCCACACAGCGGGAAAGGGGGACCAGGCGAGCCCCAGAGGCAGAGACTGATGCAGCGGCTGATCATGAGCACTCAGGAAACGCACATTAAATTCAACAGGGAGAATCCCCTCCGCCCCTCAGCTGCCATCAGGCGTGGGAGGTGTCGGGAGACGGGCATTCATCCTGGCTGCTGCTTTGGGCAGCAGCTCTCGGTGCTGGAGCAGTGGAAGGCGCCTGTCCCTCAGCCCCGCCGCCTCCCATTCCCGCACCTGCTCTGAAAGCTCCTGAACAGATGGGCCCGAGGTGCAGACAGGAGCACTCGTGGCAGCGCCATTTACAAAGACGCGGAAACAGACCCAGCGACTCCCCGTCAGCCGGGGAGAGGTGGGAAGCCAGCACAGCAAATGGTTTGTCATACGTGGGGACACAGCGAGACGGACAAAGGTCACGCGCCAGTGCCCTCAAGGGAGTGACGCTGAGTGAGAGAAGAAAACTGCAAACGGGTACGTAGGGCACGGTACCGTCTATGCTGCTTTTCCAAAACGCAAAAAGCAGTAATGATGAATTCATGGCTGTGTAGTAAAAATACAAAGCTACGCACGGGAAACAGGTCTCGGTCATGAGAGGGATGGAGGATGGGGCCCCTGAGGGCAGTCCTGGCAGGAATCCAGGAGGAGGTGGCTTTGCATGACAGGAGCGGGGATGGTGGGTCCAACAGCTGCATGCAGGGCCTGGAAGGAGGAGAAAGGGAAGGCAGCCATGTTTTTGCTTGGGTAATAACTGGTGAATGGCTGTGTCAGGACCTGCAATATGACAGAAAAGTGAAGTTTGGGGCAGGGCAGGCCAGTTTTGGACCCGCCAGGTCTGAGAGGCCCCCGAGGAATGGCATGGAGATGCCAGGTCAGCGTAGGGGAACGAGTGGGTCTGGGAACTGGCAACGGAGCAGCAGAGCCCTGGATTTGGGTGTGGTCGTGGGAGTGGCCAAGCTCCCCCAGAAAGGCTAGGTGACGACTGCCCATGGGTAGGACAGGGAAGCCCGGGACGGGCTGTGGGCTCGGACCTGGGCCTCGTGCCTGGGAGGCCACCACTTGAGACATAGGCTCTCTGGAGGTGGCGGTGTTCCCAGATGCTGTGATGCAAGTGAACCCTGCTGTTTGCACCTCCTTTCCTGGGGGTGGCGGCTCTGTCCCGGGTGTTGAGCCTCGGTTTCTGGGATCTGGAAGAATTGGGGCTGGAGCTGGCAGGTTGGCTGGGAATCCCTGCTCAAAGCTCGGCTTCTCATGAGCTAGTGAAGATGGTGGTTTTCTTTTTCATAAATTCCTTTATTTTCCAAATTCTCTACAATGAGTACATTTTACTTTTACAACTAGAAAAACGAATGTGATTTAAAGAGCCCCCTGCTTGCTAAGCTCGAATGTCAGCGTCAGCCTGGCCCCAGCACCCCGCCCGCTCCCGCCTCTGCCTGTGTGGGGTTCAGAAGGGACAGCGTCTCCCTCTGGGCTCCAGGTGAGGACTAGCCGGCTGCAAGGCGCGTGTTTACTGCAGGAATCAAAAGCACGTACGTGCATGTGCATCAGTTTAAAATGAAAGTAGATTTCTGATCCTAAAAATACATAGTCATTGTTTCCAATGCTACAAAAAAATGACGTACAACTCAAAGATAAAAAACAGAATACCATGTCACCTGGGATCCTGCCACCTGGAGACACAGCCACTTTACATCTTGGTATCTACACTTTTGGGCTTTATTTTTCTTGAGTGCAACACACAGATGCACACATTTTTAAAAACAAATGGGATCATACCATACACATTTTTTAAGAGCTGGCCTAAAAAAAACCTTAACAATAGGTTGTTGACATCTTTCTGTTAATCTGGGACTCGGGAGATTTTTAAATGGTGCCATTGTATTCGGATGTATGTGCGTTTCCCATTGCTAGTTAAATCCCTTCTCTGTTGTTGGACATGGGGGCTGTTTCCAATTATTCACTGTTATATTATGGACAACATTGCCGTAATCATCCCTAAGTGAGTTATATTTAAAGTCTTGCAACAGCGCCTGGCCGGGGTACGTGCTATAAAAGTATCTGGAATAGTCGCACCTGTGGGCACACACCGTCCTGGTGCTGTTTCCCCAGATCTATTCCAGCGGGAGGACGGCCAGGCTGAGGGGCGCTGCCCTGTCGGGAAGGTTGTCCCTGGCCTGCCTCCCACAGAGGAGCAGCCGCCCTCGGGGACCATCGTGGAACCCTCTTGCTCCAGGGTGGCCAGGGAAGGGTCTGAATCCAGCTCCAGGACCTGACAAGGGTGTGACTGGGGTGCAGCTGCATGGCCCGTCAGCGATCTGGCCTCCTCCCCATAACACAGAGGCAGCCATGATTGGTGACAAGGGACAGTGGGTGGCTGTGACCATTGCAGGAGTCGGGACGTGTGACCCTTGGAGGGTTGTTGCAGCACCCTGGACGTGTGACCAGATGTGTGGCCATGGTTTTAATCGGGGCAATTTTGTTGCTTGTTCCAACTTATGAGGGTGGCCAGATGGAGACAGACAGCAGACACAACCCGAAGTCCCGGCCTCCTGTGCCATCCTCTGGTGCGTTCTCGTTGGCGTTCACTCTTCGGGCTTCTCTCAGGGTGGTGCCTGTCAGTCTCAGTTTTGGGGTGAAGTGAACTTTGGCCCTGTTTGGAAGAGGCAGGTGGGCATGCGGGGGGCAGGCAAGGGAACTGAGGCGAGTGGACTGGGAGCAGGGGGGATGTAGGTCCTCCGGGCTGACCCCAGAACTTGGGCGTGCAGGCCTGCTCTGGGGTCCAGGCTCCACGCAGCCTCAGCGCAGGTCCTGGTGGCTAGAGACAGGGCTGGGCGGGAGCTTCAGGCCACCAACGGCCCTAATGGCTCCCTCGATGGCATCGGACTAGATGGACTCAAAGTGCCCTCCCGCTTGGAAGCCCTGTCAGACCCTGTGTTTTCCACAGAGCAGCTGCATTCCACGGCTTCTCCGGAGGCTGGTGACAGACTGCGTCTGGGATCGATGGGGCAGGTGAGCTCACGGGCTTGACTGTTGCACGAACGCTGTTGGTCTTGCATGTCTGGTCCCGTTTGCATTTTCATTCCATGCAGTGCACAGTCGAGTGTGTGCGAATCCGTTCTACCACCTGCCGTTTAAAATAGATACCCTCAGAGTGGAAGTACATTCCCGTTATTAACTCCTTGCTATGCAGTCCTGAAGGGGGTTTTCCAAGCAGGAGGGAAAGCTGGCCGGAGCGCCGTCCTGGAGCAGCGGGGGCAGGGATGGTCCAGCCATGGCCTCTGCTGCTCGCTGGTTTTCACGTGAGACTGCCGCTGGGCCAACCCGGAGCCCAGGCTGCCTCTGCATCTGAACAGAGCCAAGCAGCCACCAGGACCCCACCTGCGCGGCTGTGCCTTCAGCCCTGCGGAGCAACCAGCCCCTCCTCTGCTAAGCGTCTGAAGGAGCCGTGCAGGGAGCTGGGCTGGGGGCTCAGATGATGCCTCTGTGTGTGGCCTTAACGTGCGCAGGGAGAGCTTGGGCGATCCTGGCTCAAGGGCTCTGCTTGGAAACGGCTTGGGGAAATGGTTCCTCCCCCTGGATGTAGTCACCACATGGTAAATTCCATCTGAAAAATAAAAGCCCAGCTCTTTGCTGAGTCATAGAAGCTGGAAGCTGATTTGCGCAAAAGCCGGACTGAGTCTTGGATGAGCTGGGAAAGATTCTCACAGCAGGGCGATGGCAGAGAGGAGCAGACCGCCAGCTTTGGGACGTGAGTGTTTATTTTCTGGGTGCTGCGGAGGCTTTGCTGGTTTCGGTTCGGCCGCCTTCTGCACGGGCTCCTTCCACTTGGGTGCTCTTCTATATTTAGCGTGCACACGGATGTGGCTGGAGAGTTGACAGCTTGGGGTCTGTCCTCTGAGGGGTGCAGGGACAATCATAGAGGATGCTTCGATGTCTTCACGTTCGTGCTCAGGCACGCATTTGGAGGGGGCTTGGGCCTGCGTTCTGAGTGCAAGGTTTCTCTAAAGCATGGGTGTGTGTTTCATCCCATATGTAAGGGGGATGCTTGTTCACACGGCAGCCGTGGGTTGGGGTGCGGTGGGGAGGCCAGGCCCGTCTGTGTATTGCTGGCTGTGGTGAGAATCCCACCGACCCGGCAACAGAGAGCTGTCTGCACAGCCTGGCAGGCCTGCAGCGCCACCTGCTCCCGGCTGCTTCCGTGGGGTAACCGGCTGGACTTTCTTGCTGCTTGCTCCCTGTTAAAGAATAGGTCATATTTATGGCTTGAGGCCTCACCACCTACCTGCGCACTGATTGGATCATGTCTTCTCTTTAAAACTTAATCAAGAATCGCACATGGCTCATTGCCATAACTTCGTACACAAGGAACTCCAGATTTTTGGGAAACAACAGCTTATTATTAACTTACGAATTCACTTTTCTTTGAAAGAAGGGAGTTATTACATCGTGCCTGAGTCTACAGCTGTTCAAAGAAAATGCACTGTTGACTGGGGCTGGCAGGGCTGTGGTGGAAAGGTATCACGGGTAATTTGGCAGTACGTCATTTTACTGGTGTTTATTAAGATGTAAATGAGACTGGGAGAGGGGGAGCAGGCAAGCATGAAGGGTGTAAACACCTGCTGTTGCCACTGATTCTGCTGTTGGCTCATAGTATGGGAGAACCAGTCACAAAACAGTTTTCTCATTCAAAACCAGTATTGGAGTTGGAGATTTGGGAGTCCAGGCCTTTGAGCAGATCCATGGTAAAATGCCGCCTTAGTTCCCAAGAGGAGCAGCAGAAGGGGAAAGTCAACCGGGCTGTGGAAGGTGCCTCAGTTTACCTCCACAGCATGACTGGCGAAAGGCCAGCATTTGGATGAGGTTCCTGAAGAATCTCAGGAAGTAGATACATATGTATCTTGTAGAAGAGAGCACATTCCCATTCATTCTGGAGGCTGAGGATTGGGGGGGCACTGTGCATGCATGTTATACCTGAGGTTTCTTTTCCCTGCCTCTCCTGTGGTTTGAGGGCACCCCTGTTAAATCAAAGGGGCATGCTGTGGCAGAGAACACGGAGCTCCTGCTTCTAGCCCAACCCTCGGGAGGCCTTGCTACTTGAGGTCCTAACTGACAATATCTGAACAACCAGGTGGTGGTCCTACAGTGAGGGAGCTGTCAGAGAGGAGGAGCTGGTCCTCAGCCCCCGTATTTTGGGTCTAGCTGCTCTAATATATAAGTAAGTGTCAGTGTCTCCCAGAATTTCTTAGAAGGTTGATCTTGACTGTGGGCTTCTGTGAAATAAAAAGATACGGCATTGGTCCTGAATGCTGTATCTTTTGATTTTTCCTTGACTCCTCAGTTTCCAGTCAAGCAAGCTAGGATGTGTGTGGGATGGTGGTGTGAATTTTCCGTCTGGACCCCAAAACAGCCCTCGTTCATACAATACAGGGATTGAATAAGTTCAGGAGTCCAGCCGCTGCGATGACTGTCTTTGTGGAAGAGCCTATGCTGGCCGCCTAGGAACCCCTTGGGCAGCTGTTTCTCATCTCAACATGGCCTCGTTGGTCTGGCACCCCAAGCTGAACTCTGAGCTATGTGAGGGAGGTGTGCTTTGTGGGGCAGAGGCCGGAGGCATCTCCTGTCCTGCAGCTGAGCCCCAGGAGCTGCCTGGGCCTGCTCTTTGCAGATGACTTTTATGTATGAAACACAGGCATGTGCTGCCAGTGAGGGCCAGGCCTGCTCTCCTAGGGGGTCCCTCTAGGACCCCCTAGGAGAAGGCTCTCAGGAGCCGAGTTCGTGGTTGCCTGGGGTTTATGACCCCAGGACATGACCTCAGGAACTTTCTGTGGTTGCCAGTTTCCATGCAAGCACAGCTAGCATGGGCATCATGGGAAACCCCATCCTTGGCACAGAGAATTGGTCTCCAGCAAAACCGTGCCTCCAAGTGAAAGCAGAATTCAAACCTAGGGAAAGTGACCCCGGCCAGCTCGGGATGAAGGATTTCACTGAGGGAAAAGGTGGTGCGTGCGTCTGGTGAGGAGGCGTTGCTGGCCGTAGTGCTCGGCCCGCGGCTGAGTGTGAGGTTAGCGCCTTTAGCTGGATTGGTCAAGTGTTTAATTGGGTGAGGAGGATCCTGCCCAGGTGCCATTCCTCCTGGGCAGGGAGCTGATTAAAATGTGCCCCTGCTGCTGTCCTTCCCAGACATCCGCGCTGCCTGGAGAGTGGTTGACCTGGACTACCTCGACTTTGAAGGACCCCGGCTCTTCCTGCCTGAGGAGGACCCTGTGTGAGCACCCAGCCGGGGTGGAAGGCAGGGGTCTGGAGGCCTCACTTTTTCTTCTGAAGGGACGCGGGGTCTGTGTCATGGCCCCCGAGGACACGTTTCCCCAGGCCCGCACTGACCTCTGCTTCCTGTTAAGCTGAGCTCCAGTACTATCTTGATGATGATGGGGTTGGTCTGAGCAGGAAGGGGCTTGGAGTCGCAGAAACCTCTGCATACAGCTTTCTGTGGTCAGCCTCCTGCTGTGGCCAGCGGCCATGTCCATGTCAGAGTTTTATTAAAGAGCACAATTGGCAGGTGCATGGCGTCTGGTGGCCTGCTCCATGGCTCTGGTCGCAGCGGGAAGAAGAGGAAACTGTAGAGAGAAGGACCTTCTGGTGACATTCAGCAAAAAGAAGCAGTGTAGTGGTGACGTTGGGTTGGAAAGGTGGGGGCTTCCCGAGCCCACCCTTGCTGCTTGTCCATTCCCCCAGTGTTCACTGGCACCAGTACCCTGTGTGTCGGCAGCAATGGCATTGGGCACAATGGAAGCACAGATGGGGATCGGTCCCCGGAGAGTGTGACCCATGGAGACTTCTGCAGCCTGCCCCACACCTTAGCGACACAGCTGGCAAGTGGCTGGCGGCATCAGGACCAGTGACGAGGTGTGGCTGCAGGTGTACCACCCAAGGGTCATCTAAACAGTACTGTCTTCCCTTTTTGAAAAAAAATGTTTTTATTTTTTGAGAGAGAGTTTTGCTCTGTCGCCCAGGCCGGAGTGCAGTGGCGCAATCTTGGCTCACTGAAGCCTCTGCCTCCCGGGTTCAAGCGATTCTCCTGCCTCAGCCTCCCAGGTAGCTGGGATTAAAGGCATGTACCACCACGCCTGACCAGTTTTAGTACTTTTAGTACAGACAGGATTTTGACATGTTGGTCAGGCTGGTCTCGAACCCCGACCTCAAGTAATCTGCCCACCTCAGCCTCCCAAAGTGCTGGGATTACAGGCTTGAGACACTGCACCTGGCTTGTCTTCCCCGTTAACAGCACTTCTTACACTCTGCTGCTTTTTGACGTCTTTAAATCATGAATCCCATGCAGATTCTTTGCTGTGTGGAGCAATGGAGCTCCCAGAAGGCCTTTTGACCCCCTTTCTTTTGTGGAGATGCATTTGTTGGCTTATTCCCGAAGTCCAAAGGGAAGGGGAGTCCAGCTTCTGAAACAGACCCTGGCACCTCCACTTGCAGGTTTCATGGATGCTTGTTTAAGAAGAGTTTAGTCTTTATGGCTTTTAAAAGAGCCCCTGAGGCCCTACGATCTGGGCATGGTGGCACATGCCACGGTTTTGGGGCAGCTGCAGCGCTGGCTGGAGCAAACTCGGGGAGAAAGAGGAGATGATTTCTTCTCTAGCTAACAGCCATGCTCAGAAGCACAGGAGCTGGACTCACAGCTCCCTTCCATGCGCAAGGTTCTCTTTATTATTTCTCTTTTGCCTACTTTGCATTTACTTTTCATTTTTTTTTTTACATTCTGAAGCTGAAAGCATAAACTAGGATTAGATTGTGATTGGAGACCTCTTCTGTGTTCCATTGTAAGCCCCATTCTCCTTACACCACCGCAGCTGTGTCCCACAACTTCCGATGTATTGTGCTTGTTATTCATTCAGTTCGAAATATTTTTATAACTTTGTTATGACTTCTTCTTTCACCTATGGGTCATTTAAATGTGTGTGTTTTAATCCAGATGTTTCATTTTTTTCCTTGATATCTCTCTATTATATATTTCTAGTTCAGTTTCTTTTTGGCCAGAGAACATACTTTGGATAATTCCAGTTATTTTAACTTTGTTGAGATTTGTTTTGTTACCCAGCAAATAGTCTATTTTGATGAATGTTTTATGTCTACACCAAAATACCATATATTCTGCTATTGTTGGGTGGTGTATCCCACAAATGTCGATCAGATCGACTTGGTTCATGGTGTTGAAATCCTCTATGTCTACAAATTTCCTTTTGCTTTTTTCCACTCCTGGGAAGTGAATATCGTCACCATTTTTCTCTGCACTGCTTTCATCTCTTACTGAGAGATGAGTGTGGAAGTCTCCGATACGATTGTCCCTGTTTCTACCTCTGTTTCTTTTTTTAATGTATTTTGGGGACATACAGATTTGGGATTGGCATGTGTGCTCAATGTGTGGACTCCCGGATCCTTACCTGTGTCCCCCTCTATCCTGGGACGCTGCTTGCTCTGAAATTGACATTGTCTAACGTGAATTACAGTCACTTCAGCTTTCTTTTGATTGGAGTCTGCATTGTATAACTTTTTGAATCTGTTTATTTCTTTATTATTTTTTTGAAATGGAGTCTCGCTCTGTCGCCCAGGCTGGAGAGCAGTGGCACGATCTTGGCTCACTGCAACCTCCACCTCCCGGATTCAAGTGATTCTCCTGCCTCAGCCTCGTGAGTAGCTGGGATTACAGGTGCATGCCACTATGCCTGGCTAATTTTTGTATGT